TCTGGGGAGCCTCGCGAAGGTTTTTACTTAAGGCAGAGGATCGCAATAGCCATTTTTAAGGCTAATTATGTTTGTTTTAGTAATTCGATCTCTCCTGATGATTAGATGAAGGAGGTTTTGAATAATTTCTGCGGCTTTCGCTTTTATTTGTTTATTATGCCTCAATATTGTCCTTTTGTTATTATAATTTTTTTTTCGTAATTGTAATATTTATTATACAAATGATATTAATTAACGTAATTACTCTATCTTAAGTATTTAAAAAAAATAAATTTAATGAAATCACGCATTGGGTGACTTTGAAGACATATATCTTTTGATGTGAGTGGTAGCGCTCTGAAAGTTTGATTTTACTAAAATATACAACTTGATAACTATCATGTCAAGTTTCGTTAATTTTAGAGTTGTTCGTCCAAAATCCTCTTTTTTTTGGTTGATAGACATGGAATAACCCAGTTTATCCTTTACTAAACTGGAGAACCACCGTTTCTTGTATAATTGATTCGTGTTAAGAACTAATAATGGCCATTCGAAGGGGGAACATAGTTATATAAAAAAATTACTCCTTATCTTGAAATATTACAAATTTTTATTTATTGATGCTATCTATTTTTCGTTAGCATCTCTAAAAGGAAATTCTTTTATACCTAATTAAATAACTTGTATGACCAGGGTTGCCATCCCCCCATTAGCGGGAGACTCCCGCAATTTTTTAGTTTACACGCAGACATCTCTCTCCCTCAAAACTATAGCAATTGAAAATCTCCCGCAAAAATTTACTACAATTTTTTAATTTCTCCCGCATTTTTTTTAGTATTTTAACGTTTTTAATATATAAATAATAATTTTGAGTGACAGTAATTGATTATTTTTATATTTTAAAAATAAATTTTAAATATTTATTCGAAAAACAGGTCTAGTTTGTAAATTTCTTATCCTGTTTTATTTTTATCCAATAATGAATCAACATCATTTCATTCATATAAATCAGTACAGGAGAGTATATCAACATCGATTGCAATACAAAAATATTCTCCAAAAATAATAAATAACACAGATGCGACTACAGTTGCTGAAATCGTATACACCTATCATGTAGTTCAACATTCACAGAGCTATATCATCACAATATGGGTCGAATCTTGATATTTAACGACTCTAATATAAGTGAAAACCTTACTTGTGGTAGAACATAAATAAGCAAAGCTATCACAAGTGTTTTAGTACCTGAATCCTAGAGGTCAATTCTAGACGATTTGAAAGATGGGCATCCTTATGCAATTCTAACAGATGCATCTAATAAGGGAAATATTAAAACATTTCCCTTGATCCTTCGCTATTTCAACAAGGATAAGAACATTTCAATAAAACTGTTAAATTTTTTTTCCTCGGATAGTGAAAAATCCAACGATGTAGCTAACCACATAATGTAAATATAGCTGATTTAGGGTTATCAATGAATTGCATGTCAGCTTTCTGCGCTTATAATGCCTCTGTAAATTTTGGCAAAAACCAAAGTGTATTTACCGAATTGAGGCAGCACAATAATGAATTAATACCAATTGGCTGTATATGCCATTTACTACATTTCTTGCAAGAAGCAATTAATGTAGTATCTGTGGATGTTAAAATAATTATGATGAAATGTTTTAATGAATTAAAAGAGTTGGTGGAGTGGTCTGACTTGGAATGGTGTGAGTTGTTGCGATATGTACCTATCAGGTGGTTATCATTAATACCTGCCATCGATAGAATTTTAAAATTTTACAAACCCTTAAAAAAATACTTTTTAAATATAGATTTTAAAAGCTGTCCTAAAATTTTGAAAAATTTTTTCAAGTATGAAAGGGCAGAAGCATATTTGGGGTTAGTTTCACATGTAGGAAATCTACTTCATGCAGTTAATATTCAGTTGCAATCAGAACTTTATTAATAAAGATTCACAAAATCATGCTACAGCTCTGTTCATCTCTACAGTTAAAAATTGATAATAAATTTTATGGCGCTATTGCTAAAAATATTATATTAAAATTTTCAAATAATACTCTAATTAATATACATTTTTAAATGAAGCAGATATTTTTATTAAGACAATTTTAGAATATTTACAATCAAAATATGATTTTAATAACTATTTACAAAGGTATATGACCTTGGAACAGAAACCGTCAATTGATGGTTTATGTAATTTAATAAATATATTAAAAATATCGAAAAACATTGATGTCTTGTTGGAGGAGAATGTAATTTTCTCTATTTTTAATGATTCGCGATAATACTTAAAGTTAGATGGTCTAAAAGCAGAGGAGAAATGAATAAAAATTTTTCGTAATAACAATAAATCCCCATGCTTGGAAAAAATATGCAATTATGTCTTCTCCTTACCTCATTCTAATGCCTCATCCGAGCGCATTTTTAGCCTGATGAGGACTGCCTGGAAAAAGGAGAGAAATCGGATTGCTTTAACAACATTAGAAGCCGAGCTAATGGTTAAAAATATTTATAATATGTCATCCCAGGAATTTTATAAATATCTCAATAACGACGGTAAACGTTTAGTTCCATTATTTAAATCTCAAATAAAATATAATTAACATTATATATAACTATTTAATTTTCCATATTTTTTTAATATTTTATAAAATCTTATTTATACATTCGCATAAAATAAACATATTTTCATTGTAAATCAAAAATAGAGAGCCTTACAATATCCTCAAACAAGACATCAATGTATATCGGTATTTTTAAAATATTTGAACATTTCAATATAGTTTTAGCAATGGCGCCATAAAATTTATTGTCAATTTTTAGTAAAAATGAACACATCTGCAGCATAATTTTGTGAATCTTTGTTAAGATTCTTATGATTGCAAGTGCACATTAACAGCATGTAGTAGATTTCCTACATGTGAAATCATACCTAAATATATCCCTGCCATTCATTATTGAAAAAAAATTTCAAAATGTTAGGACAGCTTTTATAATTTTTATTTAAGAGATATTTTTTTAAAGGTTTATAAAATTTTAAAATTCTATCGATGGCGGCTATTAGGAACATATCGCAACCAACATTGTGCTGACTCAATTCTGTAAATACACTCTGTTTTTACCAAATTCACCTAAGGCATTATCAGATCAGAAAGCTCACATGCAATTTATTGATAATCCCGAATCTGCTATATTTTCCATTATATGGTTAGCTATGTCTTTGGATTTTTTACTATTTGAGGAGAAAAAATTTAATAGTTTTCTTGAAACGTCCTTAATTTTGTTGAAATAGCGATCTGTTAGATTTGCATATGTATGCCCATCTTTCAAATCGTCAAGAATTCCTCCTGAATTCAGGTTCTAAAACTTTGATGATATCCTTGCTCATTTTTGTACTACAAGTAAAGTTTTCATTTATCTTGGAGTCGTTGAATATTATGGAGAAAGATTCTACCCACATTGTAATGATAAGTAGTTCTGTTTGTACTACAAGATAAGTGATTACAATTGCCGCAACTGTAGTTACATCTGTATTATTTCTTATTTTGGAGAGTATTTTTGTTTTGCAATGGATGTAGATACACTCCTGCACCAATTATAATAATGTGAATGAACAATAATAAATAAAATAATTATCATTGAAATGAGTACAATATTACCTTATTATGTATTTAAACGCGATACGTGATAATTAAGCGCCTATCCCTATAATGTTATACACGCACACAAGATAGATTTCCAATTGCGGATGTTTGCGGGACATTCGTATAAAATATATTTTTTACATTGTAAAATTAAAATCGTTTGTTTTTTTTATAAAATTTTATCTTGTTTACATTCTTTTATATTTAAAAAGGATCGTTGGTTATTTTTTATAAATTAATATATTTTAATAAATCAAGATGTTATTCTATTTTGAAAAATAGTTACCGAATTTGTATTTATATAAACTAATTATAAAAAATAATAGGCTGATAATTAAGTCAATTCAAAATCCCGGCCGCTAAAGGCCGAGATTTTTTAGCAAATTTTTTATTTCTAACGCAATTTTCATATTTCCCCCGAAAATACCAAATTTCTCCCGCAATTTGAAAATTTTGACGGCAACCCTGTGTAAGACACGTGATAGATATTCACTCTTTTCACTTATTTTTTTTTATGAAAAATTTTATCAGTAATATTACTCTTTTTTGAGTCAGCTTTAATTACTTCTTAACATCATTTTTGCAATATGCCTTTTCCTTTTTGGCATGTTTATCACAATAGGGTTTTGCCAGTTCCTATATTCATTTACAACAAGTAAATATTAAATAATAATCTTTATATAATGATCTATGACGCCATGGGAAAGTCATTTAACATATTAACATTATAATTTGAATTTCTAAAATCTTAATAAATTCATTTTTTAAATTGATGCTAATTTTTTTAAAAATAGGGTACTAGCTAATATTCGAAAAATTGGGTTCAAAATTGAATCTTATTTTTCATAGGTAGGTGTTTAAGCATCCAAAGCAAATAGTTAACGGCGTTGTTGTTCCTGGGCTCTTTACAACCATTGGGCAAGAATTTATTTGTCGCCTCTTACAAACTATAAAAAAATATTCATATTTTATTAAAATGTAATATGTAAATATAACATAAAAATAACCTACATTGTGCTATATTTATATGTTGATTACCTAATATTTTTTTGATAAAGTCGTGGACCATTTCTTCTAAATTTAAAGCATACTCCATTGCAGATTCAATTGATAATGAAAGCCCAGGTAATCAACTGTCATGTTTGTCCTTAAATGGTTTTTTATCAGTTTTAACATTGAAAATCTTCTTTCAGTACTTCCCGGGTTATTGGTATTGTTAGTAGAATTAAAGATATATTTCTATTTGGGTAAATTTCCAGTAATTTTTGATCATAAATAAATGTTAGTATGGCTTGTGGCCCCGAAACTAAATTATAATCTTTTAAATATATAGTATATGATTACTTTTCAAAATTTAATATTTAGGTTTAACTTGACGACGGGATTGTATCCATTCAAAGGTGAAAATATATACAAATTGTTTGAAAATATAGCCAAAGGAAATTTTATAATACCACACGGAATTGATGTTGATCTTCAAAATCTCTTAATAGGTAAAATATAAGATTGTTTAAATAATTATATTTAGGCCAATTAAAATGATTAAAGAAAATAATACAGATTTTAAACAAAAAAGGTTTTAGGAAAAATAAATTTAACCATGATTCAGTCGACATAAAGCTATTAAGCTTATAATCTCTAATAAATTAGGGTTTTCCAACTACCCCAACCTTCTGGAACCTGTCCAATTACCCCTATCTGATGGGAAAAGACCTGATGGGCTCACAAACAATCCTTGATAGAGGAAAACACCTTATTGGGATTTCACTTGTATCTCCCAATTTTCCTCTAACTAAACATTGATCCGATTATTACAACTGATAGATCAAAAATTAGTAATACACCTTTAATAGTTTTTTGGTCCAGAGGTACCCTACTTATACTACCATTTTTTTAAAGTGTTAGGTAAAAAAAAAATTCTCAAATTAATGGTCATGGATCCTCTTTTAAAATGTTATAAACAACTCAAATCGCTTTATTTCGAGGCTACCATTTTAGATTACTCGGATTTCAATTCGAGCCATTTTTTTGCCCATGCCCCATGTTTTTTAAAAATTTATTTATTCTTTTTTAGTCATTTTAATTTTTTTTAAATATAATTTGAATATAGATTTATTCAGAGTTGTTAAAGTAGCTCGCTATATTTTTTGGTAGCTATAGCTAATAGCGGGCTATTTTTCAATTATTTATTTTTTTTTGGCGCTACTTAGCTACTTTTTAAAATATAATGGATGTAACTATGACCATTAAAATTTAAATATAATTAATTAATTATAATTTTTATAATTTAATATTTAATTTTGAAATTTATATTTGTAATTTATATTTTCAATTTGTTTTATAAACCTAAATCATCTGGTGTAAATTATTTAAAATTTCATCTCAAATGGATATCCAATTCTATGTAAGTGAGTCAGACATTTATGATATTAATGAAATGAAGGCACCCTAGGAGAAAATGTTTTTGATAACAATAGTACAAATTTTCCATTTCAAAAATTTGAAAATATTTTTAAAATGTAAAAACAAAAAGTGCTACAAATTTATTTGTTCAAACTATAAGAAAATATGTTGAAGTAAATCTAGTTTAATCCCCAAAAAACTTAAAGGTCATTTTTAAATTCTAATAATATTTTTATTTTGTAAGAATGTTCATACCGACAGTTTTAAAGATATAGAAAAACACCTTAATAATTTTGATATAGGGGGGACTACATTCAAGAAGAACAATTCAATTCAAGCTAAATTAATTATTAATATTAAACATGCCAATATTTCTCAGAAACTGGCTGATAAAGTTCTATCGATTTTATAATTGATACAGTTCAGCCAACGTCATTGATTGATAATCTATCACCTACCATGATGATTAAAACTCTATCCCTGGTACAACAATTTTTTGTCGTCAGACACCAATAATTGAGATAACAAACAAAGATGCCCTAAGAACCATAAAAACGACTTCCATTGATAATTTTTTGGAAATAAAGGATACTAATATAATAGAAAATCCCCTAGACGTGTTTTTTAAATCTAAAAATACAAATGAGTATTTTTGATAATTTATCTTATATTAAACTAGAGGTCTGCATTGGGCGGGGTTTCGGCCTGCCCGTCCATCTGAGTGGGCGGGCGGATGGCTGGTAAAAAAATTTTTCGAGAAGGGGCAGGGGGGCGGGCGGGTTAAAAAAAATTGAAACTATGGGCGGGCGGGTTAAGAAATTTAAACAATGGGCGAGTGGGTTAAGGAAATTTAAAATTTTTGTTCAAAAACAAACTAAAAAAATAATTGTTTAAATGATCTATAACAATATTTCTTTTTTTTATTGTACCATTCTTAAGTGAAGAACATTTACCTAACTATATTATATAATAAACACAACAATTAAACTTTTTTCTTAGAATAAATAAACATTTTTGTCTATTAAAAATTTCCTTTTATGGGAATGTAATAAAACTTTTCTAGTGCTTCTTCCGAACGCGGATTTAGCATTGCTGGAAGATTTTTAGAACAAAGAAGAACGTATTTGAATCCCGAAATGTCGATTCATTATTATTTTTGCATTATAATTACATATAATATTAATTTTACATTTATATTTTTTTCATAAATATTCAATTTGATCAAATAAATTGTCCATAATTTACATTGATTATTTTTATACTTATATTAATTTCCTAAATTATAAACTTTTTGTAGAGGTGTAATGCTGAAATATTTTTATTAGATGCTTAAAAAAATGAAAGAATGACCATTATTAAATTTTATAAGCGTGCTTGGGTTAAAATTTTTTTATAAATAATGGGCGTGCGGGTAAAAAATTTTAGACTATGGGCGGGGTGGGCGTGTATATATTTTTTTGAAAACTATGGGCGGGCTGGGCGGGCGGGTTAAATTTTTTTTAAAACATTGGATGGGCCCGACCCGCCCAATGCAGACCTTTATATTAAACTGCCTTGCTCTCAAGTGTTAGTGTTGAGATTATTTAGTAAGGCGAAACTTATACTTTCTGATCATCGCTCTAGACTTGGGGATAGTATGGAAATGATTTTATTATTAAAATGAAAAAAAATGAATATTACCATAAATAGTTATTTTTATTATATAAATTATTGTCTATTTACATAAATTTTTTTATAATCAACTACTATATTTAAATATTTATAAATGCTGATTTTTATATATATGCAATTACATTATAAGCAAAAAATAAAACAAATTTATTTTTAAATAAAAAGTAGCCAAAGCTACTATTTTGCGCTCTACTTTTTTTGATAGGTAGCGATAGCGGTAGCGCGCTATTATTAAAAATAGAGTTTAACAACTCTGACATTTATATATCATGCTGTTTTTTAATATAAATAAAGAGAATTAAATATTTAGTAAATTAAATTAAATCCCTGTTTTAGATGATTCTCGAAAAATATAGCCTGCTGGCATTAATGATCGAAATCGCTTCATTTTTGTTTTTAAAGCTTATATTTACGTTTAAAACATTATCATAAAAAATATTTTTTAAATATTGTTATTTGACTGATTGCAGACTCAAAACCGATGACTAACTAAATAATGCATTACTGGTAATATCCATTGAAAAATGTTCATTTTTGTTATATGTCGCTATAATTACATGTAAAACATTATCCCAAAATTTTTTTTTAAATATTGTGATATGACTGATAACCGACTCGTAGCCGAACCAATGACTAAATACTGCAATGCTGGCGTTATCCATGGAAAAATCTTCATTTTTATTTTATAAGCTTATATCTATACATATTAAATTATCCAAAAATAATGTGATTTGATCGATTGCCTAACTCAATACAGACCGCTTATTAAATATTCGATCAACAAATTTGCTAATAACATCAAATGAAAAATGTTCATTTTTGTTTTATAAAAAATATTAAAATTTAACACATAACGTAACCGACCCAATGACTTAATACTGCAATGATGGCATTTCATGGACATTTTTTTATACTCGTATATCTATGTGTTAAGTATTATTCCAAAAAATATTTTTATTGCCGAACTCAAAACCGACCGCTTATTAAATATTCGATTGACCCAATTTGCGACTAATGTTAATTGAAAAATGTTCATTTTTGTTTTATATCTCTATAATTACGTGTAACAATATCCCATAAATATTTTCATTTAACCGACTCAATGAATAAATACTATAATGTTGGCCCATCACTTTTGTTTTATACGCTTTTATCTATTTATAGTGCTGTTAACGTTACTACAAAAAAGAAACGCTTTACCGTTACTCATTATGTCAGAAAAATGAAACACGTTATCGTTACTCGTTATCTTTTTGAAAAAGGAACGCGTGTTACTGACTATTCAAAAAAGTAACGGGTTACTCGTTACTTAAAAAATTAAATATTATATACTAAAAAATATTTATTTTTTTTCCTGCAGTATATAATTTAAATAAAATTATACAAAAAGAATATATAAGATAAGATCTTTTTATAAAAATTCATATATATAATTACAATATAAATAAAATTATCCAAAAATATATATTATATATAAGATAACATCTTTTTGTAACAATTTTTTATTTAATTTTAGCAAAAATTGAGTGCTAAACACACGTGGAATTGGCGTATAGGATGGGAGAGTTGTATTATATTTAATAAATAAAAATTCTAATTCAAAGAATTTATTAAAAATATTTAATGAATTATTTTTATTTTGAAAAAAACTATAATAAATTATATAATAAAAATCTTCATTCATTTCCTCATCAAAATTTTTTTTATCTTTATCAGAAAATATTCTGGTATGTGTGTTGGATAAAGGAATTACGTCGGCTCTTTCTTTCAAACTGGAAATTAGTTCTAGCATTCTTCCTTTGTTGACCTCTAATTTTATCCAGGGCCAATCTAATTTAAATGCGGGCGAACTATTGCTGATAGTATATATTCAACTTTATAGATGTGTTTGAATCTATTGAAAATAAAAGATAATCAAAATATAAATTGTAAGCAATATTTGAACTGTATACCTTTTATCTATGCTTTCCAGGATTGAAATAAGCGGCTTTCAAAACTTGAAATTATTTAAAGCCATTTTTTGAAGTTTTAATATTATAATAGTTATCGAGTGAGATATTCCAAATGCATTTTTTCTTCCCTCTCTAAAATTGAAAGAGCCATAGCAATCGGTTCCATAACCTATAAAATCATATATATATACATATCATATTTCTTAATTATGCATTTTTTCTTCGCTCTCTAAAATTGAAAGAGCCGTAGCAATCGGTTCCATAACCTATAAAATCATATATATATGCATATCATATTTCTTAATTAACACTAACCATACAATATTCATTCATGAACGGCTTGTCATTATCTGAAAATCTCTGTAATTAAGATTTATTACGGAATCGTCAAATTTTTGGCAATTCTCGTTAATAAGACTATCTATTAATTTCACGGAGTTATAAAAGAGTTCCATCTTGTTATAACC